TTAATATTATTATAATTGTTGTTGTTATTATTGTTTTATTATTATTATCATTATTATTATTATTATTATGAATGCGAAAACTGCCCAAACTATCATTGTGGGAATCTTGTGTTAATAATGTTACTGGAATGCTTCCATTCATTGGGCGCAGCTTTGGCAGGATGTTTGGTTGGGTTCATTGTTCCCCTCGCCCTTTCGTTGTTTTTGCGTGCGTCACCTCTTCGAAGTTCGTCCCAATGGTCCTTAACTTTTTCGTGATATCACTTACTAATGTTATTATCATTATTGCTATCATTACTGTTGTTGTTATTGATACCATTACGTTCAATTATTTCAGGAACCAAAAGTATTAATTCTTCAGCTGCCGCGCTACGGCCAGCAAAAAGTCTTTGACAAAATATTTCCTTCACAAGAAGTTGATGTCACTCACTTGATTCATGCGGGTAAATAGTCATTTTTTATTCTCTTTACTTCCTTCACTTTGATTTCTTGTCGCATTTTCTTCTTACACATTTGATGCGGCTGGCAGTTTTTCCATTCTTCTGTTTTTGGGCCGCCTATTAACCAGTTAATTCCATATAGCTGTTTGAACGGGCCTTTTTGCTGTGTTCGTAGTCCCCCGCCACCCCTGAGCCGTTTTTGTATTATTTTTAGGCTTGGAATAATTTTTTCCCCTCTGAATAATTCATCTACTGAAGCGAATTTTACAGGTAAACGGCCATGTATAGGCTGTGGCAAACTGGCGAATGTGATGTGTCCTGAATGTTTTTTGACCCAGGAAGTTCTGATTTGCGAGGTTTGTGCCGATTTTCGTCTAAATCACGATACGATTTGATTTATTTTACATTTTACTCATTCGTATTGTTACTGTTTTGGGAAAATCATCTAAATTACTAGGGCGGGAAGGGAGGATTAGTATGATTGTCGCTCAGATAAATCCCTAATTAATACTCCATTTGAATTACTTAAATCAGCTAATAATTTTTGCTATGGTTCTACAGCTGTGCGGCTGACAGCTTCCCCAATTACGTTGGTCGGTGCTGTGGGTCTTGGTGGTCAGCCAAACTATATTTTGGGAAATATCTGTAAATAAATTGCTTATAAATATTCTGGGCAGGGAAAAATGAAAATAGTGATTCGAGCGGTAATTCTACATTATCTTATTCGGCCTTGACTCCTTCCAGCAAATAGGACTAATCTTTTTCCGTATTCTTTTGGACCAATAAATTTTCATGTTATTCCACGCGTAACTGAGTATCTCTACAGATGGAATCCTGTCCTGCGTAATTGGTTATGGTAAACCACTTTTGTTTGTCCAGCTGTCGGTATGGGAGTGCACAAATTATTGAAAAATCGCATAAGTGTTGATTGAAATGCCATTACCATAAAATTTCAGCTTCGTATATTCAGTGGTTCCCGAGAAAATAATTTACCCGCAAAAAATTTCACTAATTTATCCGCAAAAAATTTCACGGAGTCGGCCGTGTTACCTGCGGGTACATGGGGGGCCGAATTTGAATAGGCAAGGTTGAGCGTGGGCAGGAGGCTATTGGGTCGAGTGTGGGCAGGAGACTATGCGCCGAAAATTCGGAGATGGGATGATGGAAACTGTAGAATGGCCAGCAGGTTGGCCATCGAGTGATGCAGCTTTAGTCATTGGGATCTTGAAAATTGTCAACTGCATCGTTGGAACGCAAATTTGCAGTATTAAGTTGGCCATTGACCAGAGTGGTACAGTACGATATACTTATTCATCAAAATCATCATAAAATATCATGCGCACATGATATTTTATGATGATTTTTAATTTCAACGAATTAAAGAGTGAACATTTTGTTACCTCTGTAAAGTGTATGTACTTAAAATACTTGTTATTGTTTTAGGTGACATATTGTACGATATGTTATGATCGAGCGCACTGTGGTCTGGATCATCAGCCGCAACATCTACAGGTCTCCTCGGCATTCTCATCGCTGTCGCTTTCACGACGAACTCAAATCCCACAAAAAAAGCTCCAACTGGCCTCGGTACTTTGCATCGAAACATCACACTACGTAGCATTTGTGCGTGCCATGAACGCTAATAAATGGCTATTTTTTGATTCAATGGCCGATCGAGTAGGCTTATCGGATGGCTTCAATGTGCCACAGGTTTGTCATCTTTATGTTTTTTTTTTTTTATTCTTTTGGGGGAGAATATCTGCTTGACTGTCCAGTATGTCCAATATAATTTCAAAAATTTTCTTAATTTCCATTCCTTATCTTCCTTTTGTTCTGTTTCTCTTTATTCCATTCCTTCCTATTATAACTTTCTACTTGATTAGCCGTTGCTCATAGTTTGGCTGTACAACTATGCATCCAGCAAACTTTTTCCAGTTGCTTGGACCGGTACTGCACGACTTGTGGGACAGCCCGCTATCGTTTCCGGCATTCACAGGTTCTACCAGCGGAAGCTCTTGGCAAAGCTTAGACATTTTGAGAAGTCTCTGACGTTTGTTGGGTATCACTACCTCATTCTAACACCTCGTGATTTCCAAAATTTGCTCTTTTAGAAGTTTTGTCAGAAATCAGTTTCGCTTATGTAGGATAAAAGTGAAGGAGTTAAAAAATGTAAAATTTAATTGCAAAAGCTTTGCGACTTAAATGGAAAAAAAAAATTTTACTGATATCTTCATTACGTTTAAATCAAAACGTCCTCTGTATTTAATGACCATTTGGAAGTATCCAGTGACTAGCAAGTTGGCAAGACTGCCGGTAGCTCCTCTTTTGAGTTTTGCTTGAAACAGGCTGGTGGCACATTCGACCTCTTGGCATTTGCCAATACCATTTTATTGTTGAAACACATGAACGAATCGTAGAAGGACTGATTGCCCCATTTCGACTTTTAACTTAATCTTTGAAAAAAAACAATGGT